GTTAATTGTATTATATTTGTTGTTTTTACAATACCTTATAATAATAGGCACCTTCTTGAGTTCTTGAGTGAATTAACGGGTAATAACATAATTGGGGTCATCAGAGGCCTGTACGACGAAGCGGGATTTTGGCTTAGCGAGCTAACTAAACTCTGGGTTTCCGGTCCTACGACGCTGGTTCACTTTATAGCGGGCTAGATCTCCATGGTAACTAAGCAGGTTAGGTTCCAGGATAAGAGATCAACTCAGTGAAAGCACCTTCTGCTGACCAATCAGAGCTCAGTGTGCAGAGTTTAAAGCGATCAAGTCATATTACAGGAGAAAGGACATTTAGAAAAACTGCCGTTGCAGGAAAGACGGCCAGCAAAAATCACCGACTGTGTGAACGTGAAAATGAATAGAATATCACCTCCCATCTTCAGAGCAATCTGACTATTATAACATTAGCGTTAAGAAAGCTTACTTGAATATCTGCCACAACATAAGTAACCGGCACCCCGTGTGTTACTACATATCAAAATGTTCAGGACAATCTCTGGTCTTGCTATAAATACAAATTACTCACCTTAGAGCACTGTGTGGTGAGATAAGTAGCTCTAAAGCTGAACATTTGACATCAAATCTTCAAAACTCTTGTGAAAACACAAATGTACTCATGTCATCCAATTGTTTTGGTGTTTTATATTTGGTTACCAAAGTCTTAGGATCACAAAAGTAGTGAAATATTTGAATTACACTGTATATAAATGTGTAATTCATGTCTAAAATTAAACAAATTAAATTGAGTAAAATAGGTGTTTATCACTCTCACCACAGCAGGGACTGAGATACATCAGGACTGAATAATGACTTCATATTACATACCAAGGTTCATGTGATGTGTACAAATACAAATTGAGCATTCAAATGCAAATTAAATCCCCCTAAATAAACGTATTTTTTTAGCCAAAATGCGCCAAACCTCGGCGTCATTACGCATTCCTCCAATCATTTAAGAGGTTTTCTCAGCTGCTGTGATTATTGAATTTCACAAAGAGACTGATATATATATGTCTTCCTAATGATCTCACATTGACTCTGATATTAAGACAGATAAATGATTATGATCCACAAATGTTTTTAAAAGCAGTTTCCTGGAAGAAGCCATCAGGTATTTATGATATTAGAAGGGGTCCCTTTAAATTGCCTTTTCATAATGAACACATTTACCCAGGGTAATTAATATATAAACCCTCCCGATTTGTCACTTTGATTTGTATTTTAGTTAATTGTGAAAGTAATTACAGAGGTTTTTTTTCTTCCGTTTCCATCCTGGGTTCCTTATTAATTCCCTCTCTCCTGGATGTGATGAAAAGGAACCATAAATCCTGCTGATCGGTGAAGGCCAATACTAAATGGCTCCATATTTCACTTCTGCTTTAATAGAAATATTCATGCGGGGCCCTTAATGAAATTAAACCCACGGGACAAGAGGCTGTTACAATAATCACAGCAGCTGAGAAAACCTCTCAATGATTGGAGGAATGCGTAATGATGACGCCGAGGTTTGATGCATTTTGGCAACAAAAAAATACGTTCATTTAGGAGCGATTTTTTTTAATTTTCTGCCATATTTGCTCTATCGTAGCTTTCACATTTAAAAAAATCATTATAAGTGAGTTAAATAAAGATTGATATAAATATGTGTTAAGAAAATGCAAGAAATGTAGCCTTTTTAATTGAAGTACATTTACAGGTGGGGTAATTTTGGAGAAACCAGCTCGAGTGCGCTAGAATTTGAAAATACACAACCGGAAAAAATCTGCCACTTCCTTACAGAGCCCCTCCTCCAACACACACGAACGCGCACATGACCAATGAGGGCACGAGATAAGTTTGTGCACGAGATGGAAGGCTGACAGGCAGGTAGGCCATCCAGTTATTTTAGCCGGGCCGGCTCAGATGATTGGTCGTGCTTTTTACAGTAGGCTACTACGGCTTCCACAGATGATATTTATTAATGTATTTATTGTCAAAGCATTTAATGTATTCATTGCTATCGGGATGTTAAGAGCATTCCATGGAATATAACAACAAGTGTTTCTGAAGTGAATTACCTACCCCACCTTTAAGTAGGCTACGATTTGTGGGTAGGCTACTTGTACTTTAATAAATAAGCTATGATATATAATTATAGGTGAAAATACCCAGCAGAAGTATACAAAGTAATTAAATTAGATCCACTTTTAGTCATAATCCGGATATTAAATGGGCTTTTACGCACAAACAGTAACTTTTTTTGGTACTAAGTATATTTTGATGCCAATTCTTATGTACTTTGACTTACATTTTACACTGTATTTCAACTCTTACTAAGGTAAAATAGCTGAGTACTTCTTCCAAAACTGTCTAAATGATTGGAGAAATGCGTGAAACACGTCCGTTTGGGATGTTTATTTATTTAACCTTTACAAAATAATGTTAACATTCTGCCGTATTTGCATACTGTTCTGAAAAGGTTGTCCTACGCACAACATGTTATTTTTGTACTATGAGTATATTTTGATACTTAAATAAATGAACGTAAGGGTCATTTTACACTGTATTTCTAAGTCAAATATCTGAGTACTTCTTCCAACACGGTGTAAATTATTGGAGAAATGCGTAAAACACTCCAATTTTGGCATTTTGGCAACATGTTTATTTAGCCTTCCACGTCATCAACATATTTGTTAATGCCATATTTGCTCTTATAGAAATGGACCCAAATAAATGAGTTTAAAGGAAGTGAGCATCGTGATTTTAGGAATGAGACATCAGTATTTGCACCATAAATAAATGAAACATGTTTTCTCCCATGATTCCTCGCAGGCCTATACACTGTCTAAATGATTGGAGAAATGCGTAATAACCATAGACTGGTAATAACACTCCATTTTGGCTAAAAGAAATATGTGTATTTAGCCATCCACGTCATCAAAATATTTGTGAATGCCATATCTGCTCTCCATGCATAACAATTGAGGATTTTGGGAGTGTTGACGATGTCATATTTGCACCGTTTCTCCATAAATAAGTGCCCAAAAACCAACATATTAGTGAATGAACTCTCTGTGTCTCTTCCTCTCTTCTTTTTAGTTGTTTCTCCCCCACTATCCCTCGCAGGCTCACATCAATCTCTCCGTTATCATTCTGTAATTGGTCATGATCATCAAGGTCCACAATTAAATCACGATCCGTTACTCTGAATCCACCCGGTGACTTGTTGATTTCCCCCGAGCAAATAAACGTCCTGCTTCTCTGATGAATTGACAAAAACTAATCAGCTTTATTGGTAGACAGGTTAAGGGCAAACGGGTGTCAATAATTCTCATTTTGACCTCCTCTATCCATTAACTTTAAGTGGCTTATTAGACCCGGAGCGCACAGGCCTATTATCTTCATCTCCTCATCACACTTTCAATTACTACCTTTTTCTGCTGCTCGTTGGCTCAATCCGCGAGAATTTGACTTATTTTGACAGCCAAGCTTTTCTAGGAGGAAGAAAATCCAGTTGCATGCTTTAAGAGGTTGATTTAAAACAATATTACCTGTTTGATTTTTTTTTTCTACTTTTTGTTGCACTTGCAGCTATCTGGCTCAATCCGCGAGACTTATTTTGACTGCAATGCTTTTCAGGGAGGAGGAAAATCCAGTTGCAAAAAGACGAAAATCCACTTACAAAACATAACAAATTAGTCCAGTCTGTCACACTTTCAATTACTACATTTATTTTCTGCTTCTCGATGGCACAATCCGAGTTACTTTGACAGCCAAGCTTCCATTGCGGGAGGAAAATCCAGTTCCAAGCGCTCAGGGGTTGTTTATATAATAAGAAAAAAACACCAAAATCTCCGGTTTTTTATTTAATGTTTTTTAGCGAAAACACGTTTTATTCTATGCATCTGCAAAAAAAACCTGTAACGCTGTGCTGATGCATGCTGTTGGAGGCATTGGGGTTAATCAATTCTGTAATATGGCTCCATAAGAGGCCAGTCTGTCACCTCGAGCTGCAGCGACAGAAGGAGCTTTCACTTCAATTTCCCTGTTGGCCTCTCCGGCTCAAGATGGTCCTTTTACGCACAAACCAAAGGCTCTTTATCTCATGTGTCATCTCAATTCAAAAAGGGGAAACGAGCCTGAGAGCTTTACGCATTTATTGTGGTGTAAACATTCATGTGGTAAGGTTTAGCTAATTTAATATTACCTATTTGTTAATAATATGTCATTTATATTCGTTTTTCAGGTTTCTCTTTCCACATGAGAGCTCCAAGATGTTGTTTAAATTCAAGGAAATTCTGGGTTTAGATAATAATCAATAAGTGGGAATCATCTGCACGTATAATGCATCTTTTTATATCAACAAAATACACATTTGTTCTCTTTTATAAGCCTATATGGATGTGCTGTCGATGCTAAATCAAGTGTTACATCTTCTCCTGCTAAATAAGTCATGAACATTAAAGCAATCACCACAAATGTGTTGCAAGTCAATGCAATATATTAAAATACTGCACTACCCGTATCAACAATGTAAAATAACACTGTGCAGAATATACTTACAGTACTGTTTACTACCTGCAGCTTTTCACTACTTTCTACTGGTTTCGATTCATTTTTTATAATGTTTTTTATACTTGGATTGAGACATTATTATTCGATTTTAATTCTTGATGAATGTGTGCTTGCTACTTTACTAAATACAGTTTTTATTCTGTCTATGATCTCAGATCTGATTCTTCTACTACTCCATAAATCCCGTGTTAATTAATTCATTTTCCTGTAATAATAGCGATATTATTTCCGGCGCGGTGGCTGATGGGACATCCCCCTGCAGACGGCTGCACCAATCACCTCCCTCCTGCAGGCACTAAGTGTCACGTGGAGCTGCTCTCTCACACTCCGGACCACATCATAACTTTGGAGAGGTGGGAAAACACCAGTCTTCTTCTTCTCCTCTCAGTTTCCAGCAGGACGCACAGATGGAGAAATCTAAAAACTTCCGCATCGACGCGCTTTTGGCAGTCGATTCTCCCAAAGTGCAGACTTCTCCTCTGGCTCTGGTAACTTCCCTGTCTTCCTCTTCCTCTTCCTCCCTCTCCATCCCCACGTCTGGTTCCATGGACTCTTTACGCGCCGAGTCTTTACGCGTAGACTCTTTACGCACAGAAACGCCGTCTCCACCGAGGATTTCAAGCTGCGGATTGATCCCCAAACCTGGTTTCCTCAACAGTCCGCACAGTATGCTCGGATTACACCATCAAAGCACCGGAGGAATCCCCACCCAGGCTCTGTACGGACACCCCATGTACAGCTACTCTGCTGCGGCTCTAGCAGGCCAACACCCCGCCCTGTCCTACTCTTATCCATCCCATCATCACCACAGCGACCCCATCAAACTGACCGCGAGCACCTTCCAGCTGGACCACTGGCTGCGCGTGTCCACGGCCGGGATGATGCTGCCCAAAATGTCCGACTTTAACTGTGAGTAGATGAGTAATTACAGGCGTTTTTTATCCACTTAAACGGTGTGATTGCACCCCAAAAAAAGTCTGTTTTGTGTGTCATAATTTTGCTAAAATATCTCAACATTTCCGACTTTAACTGTGAGTATATGAGTAATTACAGGCGTTTTTTTATCCACTTAAAAGGTGTGATTGCACCCCAAAAAGTCAGATTTATGTGCCATAATTTAGCGAATATAGCTCTAGATATTAACACAGCTTCTGTTCTGGTGTTTTTTCACCACCACTAAATCAAATAGTAATATAAGTACATCTTTGGTTATGTATGACGACCCAAAAATAGGTAATAGTCTGCTTTATGTGTAAAAAAACGGTGTGAATGCATCCAAAAAGTCTGATTTATGTGTCAAAATGTAGCTAATATAGCTCGAAAGATAATGAGATATCAAGACTTTTTTCACCCCTACTAAATCAAATAGTAATAGAAATACATCTTTGGTTATGTATGACGACCCAAAAATAGGTAATAGTCTGCTTTATGTGTAAAAAAACGGTGTGAATGCATCTAAAAAGTCTGATTTATGTGTCACAATTGAGCTAATATAGCTCGAAAGATAATGAGATATCTACTAAATCAAATAGTAATAGAAATACATCTGTGGTTATGTTTTGGCGACCAGCTGATCCTAATAGTCTGCTTTATGTGTCATAATGATATAATAAATAGCTCTACAAATAACGAGGTATTAAGAAAGCTGAAGTTATCCTTTAGGAAAAGGCAAATATTTCTTATTTCTGCACACAATGTCCAGCTGGCCTGTTTTTTTGCCCCTAAAACGATGTGATTGCACCCAAGACTGATTTATGTGTCATCATTTTTGCTAATATAGATACTAAGCTACTGTTATCGTTTTTATTTAAAAGGCAGACATGTCTGTTGTTGCTTTAAAAATACGATTTTCTTTATTTATGGTGCATTACTTCCCTCACATAAATGATGATGGTCATGGAGGAACTCAAATGGATAGATGGATTGTTTTATTAGAGGATGCTCTGGCCCTTTTTTTTTTACCCTAAACTAAATCATATAATAATATAAATACATATTTGGTTAATTTAGGCAACCAAAGCTGATCTAAAAATATTTGATAACACCCCAAAAACGTCAAAAGAAATGTGCCATACTCTCCTAATAAATACCTCTAAGGAATAACTATATTAAGACCGCTTTTGTTACCTGCTATTTGTTATTTTGCTTCAAATTAGAGTGATTTTGTGATTATTTCCCACACACAAATGATGCTGTTCTGAATGGAGAGGCTGTCTGAGTGATGGTTTTTCAGAGAGGAACTAAAATGGACAGATAATGGACAGTGGGAAAGTGTCATCAGAGTGTGAAACCCACAGCGACCTGCGATCCCTCTCAGAGACTGCCTGCTTGTTTCTGCTCCTTTTAACAGATTTGTTCCAAATAGAGAAGCAAATAGCTCAGAAATTCAGAAGAGGACTTTGTTGCTTTAGCTGGGAACACAGAGGATCATATTATTACACAATAACAACAGAGAGGTGTCCATTTATCCCCCTGCAAAACGTCTTTGTTTTCAGTCATTCGTTTTGCACATAAATCTTCTTTTTTGGATGCATTTAATGCCAGGAATGCATGCAAAATAATGGTTTTAAATGGAGGTTTTTCTGTCTTTCTTGCAACAGGCGCAGTCAAAACAGCTGTGATTTTATTCTGTTATCCATCATTAGCAGGCTATTCGTTTTGCACATACATCTCCTTCTTTAGATGCATTTTACGCCACAAATGCATGAAAAACTAGTATTTTTTAGGTGTGTCATTGATGTGTTTCTGTCTTTCTTGCAGCTCAGGCGCAGTCAAAACATCTGTTCATTATTTTGTTATCAATCATAAGCAGGCTTTTCATACATCTCCTCATTTAGATGCATTTTACGGCACAAATGCATGAACAAACAAGTATTTGTTAGCTATTATATTGATGTTATTCTATCTTTCTTGCAGCTCAGGCGCAGTCAAAACATCTGTGATTATTTCTGTTATCCATCATTAGCAGGCTTTTCGTTTTGCACACACATCTCCTTCCTTAGATGCATTTTACGGCACAAATGCATGAACAAACAAGTACTTTTAAGGTATTATATTGATGTTATTCTTTCCTTCTTGCAGCCCAGGCGCAGAATAACTTGCTTGGTAAGTGCAGAAGACCCAGAACTGCTTTCACCAGTCAGCAGCTGCTGGAGCTGGAGCATCAATTCAAGCTGAATAAGTACTTGTCACGACCGAAGCGCTTTGAAGTGGCGACTTCCCTCATGCTGACAGAAACTCAGGTAATTTACTGCTACTCTGACTCATTTTAAAACATCTCACCTGACCGCCCTCCCCTTTTAGAAACTGTTTCAAAAATAATAATTCTGGAAAGAATTTAGAAGCTATAATTATGTTGTTTTGTCTTGATGGAAATACAGCCTTCCTGATTCTGAACAAAGAAATGTTCCGTAACATTTAAAAAATACTTTGGAAAATTGCACTTTACGTCTTTCTATTGTAGCATATTTTCCATTTGATTTAATGTATTTTTAAATTACATATGAACATATTACATACCATTGTAAAGAAATGTGTTCAGTGTTGTATTCTTTATACCCCGCGGAGGTTAATGTCAGCTGGACTGTCGACCTTTACGCAATCTTTACGCACAGGTGACTTCCTTCTACAAACCACAAAAAAAAAAGGGTTTTAATATTTCCTGCTGTGATTTTATCAGCAATAACACCGTACAGCTCTACCTACATACATTATGTTGCTGCTAACACGGGGATCAGTAAAGGTCCATCTCATCTTATCCATTTTATACCACACAGTAAAAGTAATGTGTCTTATTTGGTTCTTTGCGGGAAACTCTCATGTTGACTGGTGACATTTACGCGTATTTACGCACAGGTAGCCTCGTTTGTATTGGTTTAAACGACTGAAACTAAATTATATTTATTCTCTTCAGGTTAAAATCTGGTTCCAGAACAGACGTATGAAGTGGAAGCGGAGCAAGAAGGCCAAGGAACAGGCGGCTCAGGAGGCCGAGAAGCAGAAAGGAGGAAAAGGAGGCCAGGACAAATCTGAGGGAACGGATAAGTCGGACTATAAGAGCAAGACGGACTCAAAAAATGGAAGAATCAGAGACTTTAGAGACAGTGACGACGACGAGGGGGACACCTTCCTGTACAACTCGTCAGACTGCTCCTCAGAGGACGAGGCGAATCACACCAGTGATATCAGTCCGCAGCCTTGAAGCTTGGGAAAAACGTGGAGATTTGTAATGACTGTGGGGGGGTTTCGCTATAAAAAAAAAATGCATGCAATCCAACCTCTGATCACTTCCTTGGAGCATTTGTTTGTCATGAAAAAAATAAGTCAAGAATATAAGTTCATTGTGTCATAAAGCAGCAGATTTAGGGTTTATTTCAGGAGCATCTCCACTGTAAACTGTTGCATGGCTTCAATGCAAACTGCTGTGGTTCAGTAACACCTCACAGCTCATACAGTAACAAGTCATTTGTCTTTATTTGTTCCTTGTGGTGTTCCGTAGCTGAAAAACAATGTTATGTTTATTTTTCTACACTGTATTTATAAATCCCAGTGCATGCTAACTTATTGTTTAGCGTCTCTCATGGTGCAGAAACAATGTGAAATAAAATGTTTTTATATAAAAACTCACATGCAATTTCAGCGCAAGATTATTATTATTTTTAAGAGAAAGTAGTCCCTTTGATTTACGGTGCACTGCAGCGCGGAGGCACACAGAGGCTCGTGTTTTCCGCCTCGCTCTGACAGGTCGGGTCATGGGAATCTCTGTTAATAGGCTGTCGGATCTGTGCAAACGGTCAGAGAGAGCAAACAGCGGACTGAGAGGAAACATTTCACACCACTATAGCAATGGTGTTTATAAAGCTGTGAGTCGGCCAGGGGGAAACTCTGCTGCACAGTCAGGAACCACTTTAAAACTTAATTTAGAATAGAATAGAATCCTTTATTGTCATTATACAGGTACAATGAGACGAGTAGAGCTACAAAAAAACAAACAAGAGACGTACAAAAAGACAACATACACACAAGCATTCATACTTCAATATGCAGGTCCAGGAATATATCGGTTTAAGTACAAATACATATGTTTGAATGTGTATATATAGCAGATTTAGATAATATTCTATGTGTGTTGCTTATAATAGTGTTGTAGTACTTGAGACCAGTCTTCGGTCTTGAGACCACTTTTTAAGTTTCTTGGTCTTGACTACAACACTATCTTATAGCCCTTAAGCCTTAAGGTTTTGTATCCAGTGGTGGAAGAAGTACTCAGATATTATATGTACGGTGGCCTACAGGTGCACATGCATTACAAGATACTTCCATCAGGAGAAACTGCAGCTACAGAAACGATGCAAATATAAAAACACAAATGTGCCAAAACATCTTCACCAACTTCACGAAAAGTGTCCAGCTTTTAGAAGACATTCACAAACTAGCGTCACTTTTTAATGCCCCCTGGTTTTAAGCTCGTTTTATATTTTCACGATTTCATTTTTGCAGTGCTTTTTAGTAAATGTTGCATGTGTTGTCAACAAGCTTCACCTGTAGGCCACCGTATATAATTCAGTAAAAGTACAACAGTATTAGCAGCCAAATATATTTAAATTCTGAAAGTACTGAATATCCAATATGTTACATCACTGGTTTGAAATCAGTGATGCATTCAGGTGACTATCCTTTTTATTCTGCAGCCTGTAAAGGTCAGGTATTTCCATCCATACTAGTACATTATATGTATTAGTTGATTTAACTTGATCAATAAAAACCTGCAAAAGTAACTAATGTTGTGTAGTAAAAGTATAAAGTGGCATAACATGGAATTACTTAAGTGCGAATATCTCTAAATTGTACTTAACTAAGTACATCCACCACTGTTTATCCAAATATATGGACTTTTAACTTACGTTTTTGCACGGTTTTGTGCAGCAAAAAAAGGAACTGTCGGTGAATTTAGTTAGAAAAATACATGTGCACTTCCTCAAAAGCGAACAAAACATCCCAGCAGCCTCATTTTCCTACCTACACATAGCGTTATTTATTCAGGGTGTGCTATCTAATGACCTTTCACTATTTGTAGGCATCGTCTGACACTGTGACTGAGCTTTTAAGGCCAGTTGAATACCTCAAAAACAGGTTTACATTGTGCATCTTTACAGAAAACAGTCTGTATTATGTTCCTCTGTTCTTCCCACAGTCATTAGTGTTGAACTGTAGCCGGGGTTGAGTGATTATGTGCCGTTTGTAACAGGATTACTGAGCAATCTGTCGGTTATCTTCAGCTGTTTGCTTTAGCAGAGTTCAGCTGAGGGTCAAACACAGAGCTGCAGGTAAAACTGTCGGAAACAATGGCACAGTGAGACCATTGATCCCGGACTCTCCACCATTTAACTGACTTATTCTCCTGTTTTCAACTCAATGGTCTCCCGTTAGTTCTTAATAAAACACTAGGAGAAAAAGTAGACAAATCCTCCACCTTTTAACAGACTCATTCTCTGGTTTTCACAGAATATTCTCCATCATTTCTCACTAAAACACCAGGCAAAAAGTCTCATTTACCTTTTACATGTTGGTGCTTTTGGGGACATTTCCTCAGGTTGACCTTGTTGTCCCATGTCTGACCTCAGGTGAAAAAGCTGAGGCCTTATCCACCCAGTATCTCCACCTTTTCACAGACTTATAGTCTCTGGTTTTCAACCCAGTAGTCTCCACAATTTCTTGATAAAACCCTCGGAGAGAAAAAGTGGAAAATCTCTACGAATCCTCCAACTTTTAACGGACAAATTCTCAGGTTTTCACCTAGCAGTCTCCAGCATTTCTCAATAAAACCCTGGGAGAGAAAGTAGACAAATCCTCCACCTTTAAACAGACTTCTTCTCAAGTTTTCACAGAATATTCTCCTTAATTTCTCAATAAAACACCAAGCGATATTCTTTACAAAAACCTTGTGTTGCATGTGGCTACATGTTTGTGCTTTGGGGACATTTCCACAGCTTGACCTTGTTGTCCCATGTCTGACCTCAGGTGAAAAAGCTGAGTCCTTATCCAACTAGTATCATACCTTTTAACAGACTTAGTCTCTGGTTTTCAACGCAGTAGTCTCCACAATTTCTTGATAAAACCCTCGGAGAAAAAGTGGATGTTCTCTACGAATCCTCCAACTTTTAACGGACTTCTTCTCAGGTTTTCACCAAGCAGTCTCCAGCATTTCTCAATAAAACAGTAGGAGAACAGTGGTTATTCTTTACAAAAACCTTGTGTTACACGTTGCACATTTCCTCTGGTTGACCTTGTTGTCCCATGTCTGACCTCAGGTGAAAAATCTGAAGCCTTATCCACCGAGTATCTCCACCTTTTAACAGACTTAGTCTCTGGTTTTCAACGCAGTAGTCTCCACGATTTCTTGATAAAACCCTCGGAGAAAAAGTGGAAATTCTCTACAAATTCTCCACCTTTTAACGGACTAATTATCAAGATTTCACCGAACAGTCTCCATAATTTCTCACTAAACTCCCTAGGAGAAAAGTGGTTATTCTTTACAAAATATAAAATATATTCTGCAACATTTCTCAATAAAACTCTATGCAAAAAGTGGATAACTTCCCAAAAACCTTGTGTTACATGTGGTTCATTTACCTTTACCATGAGGGTGTTTTGGGGACATTTCCTCTGGTTGACCTTGGTGTCCGATGCTTGACCTCCAGCCTCGGATTGATCCATGCCGCACCGATGGAGCTAATTAATAGGAGCAAGTATCAAATGTAACAGAGCGGCTCTGCTATGCTAACCATGCCGGAAGATACTGATCAGCAGGGAGTGTTAACCCTGAATAAACTACAACACCACGGGCTTATCAACCTAATAATATAACATCTGCACTAGGCGGTTGAGTTAAAAGCGGAGGAAGTCTTCAGTAAAGTAGGTTTTATGTTGAATGAGAGTGTAACTAGACTAATATTTACTCCTACTGCCTCCATGAGGGCGGTAGAAAAACGGTAATTAGTTCCTTTCTTTCGACAAAAATCATCAACGCTTTAGGCAATTTGTCGCCAATTTATTGAAGCTTTCCCTCCATATATACAAGCACCATTATGGTCAATGAGTTTGGGGTAATGCGTTAAATAAAATATTCAAAAAACAGCTTTCAAATTGTCATTAAACATAGCGATTTATTGCAGGATAATAAATCTGAATCAAGAGGCAACATGTTCAGATAAAATGGGTGAGGACTGGCGTGTCTCTAAAGCCCACATTTTAATTAATGGTTAGAATTATGTACAAGGAAACGACACACAAGTCCTTCTTCTGTTCCACAGGCGTGTCCAAACGTCTGCTGGTGTGTGTGTGTGTGTGTGTGTGTGTATGTGTGTGTGTGTGTGTGTCAGTGTGTGTGTGTGTGTGTGTATGTGTGTGTGTGTGTGTGTGTATGTGTGTGTGTGTGTGTCTGTGTGTGTGTGTGTGTGAGTGTAAGTGTAAGAGGTTTTGTTTTGAGTAAGAGTAACTCGACTAACTACAAGGAAACGACACAAGTCCTTCTTCTGTTCCACAGTCGTGCTCCTGGAGTTTTGTGTGTGTGTGTGTGTGTGTGTGTGTGTGTGTGTGTGTGTGTGTGTGTGTGTGTGTGTGTGTGAGTGTGTGAGTGTGTGTAATAGGTTTTATTTTGAGGAAGAGTGTAACTAGACTAACTACTAGAAACGACACACAAGTCCTTCTTCTGTTCCACAGTCGTGCTCCTGGAGTTTCTGGTGTGTGTGTGTGTGTGTGTGTGTCAGAGTGTCTGTAAGGATGTGTGTGTGTGTGTTACAGTTTGAGCTTGACCTCCTTGGCCTCCATGGCCCTGGATGCGACCTTCGCTCTCTCCGTCAGCTCCTCTGCTTGCTCAGCTGCTCCTTGGTTCCTGATGCTCTTCAGCAGGAAGTGGCTGATAAAAAGCTTCAAGCCCTCCCGCAGCATTCCTAGTTTGGGAATTCCTGAGATCCTGGAGGACGAGAGACAATGAGACACATTGAAGTCAGATGTTCTCAGGGTGGGAAGCAGTGGTTTTAACACCCGGGGGTTAATGGAGGTCAACAGGTAAGTCGTGCTGCATGAATAGACAATTAGGGTCTCTCCAAGATCTAGTCCTGACTACAAATAACACAACATCTAAAACATTTGGACATTCGTGGTCTCCAGAGGATGAATCTCTAACACTGGTAGTCCTGTTCATTTAGCGCCTATATCAAGCAATACCAATACTTAGATTTATAACAACACACCACCTGCACAAATTAATGACAGGCATTCCTCTGTCTCAGCTAGCTTTGTTGATCGTTAATTACCAAATGTTAGCATACTTAAAATGCTATAATTGGATGATGGACGTTGTGTACATTTTAATTGTTTAACAGCTGTAGCTAAGCACTGAATCATTTGCAGCGAAAAGAAGAAACTGAACATAGTTAGTTTACATTCCAAGTATCATGATGTTAGCTTAGTTTTACCCTGGAGTTGTTAGCAAGTACGAGTTTTCTTTTTCAGTGCAACTTCTTTATCGGTAATGACCAAATAGCATGCTAAAACGCTAAAATTAAATATTGAACGTTGTAAACATCACACTTGTTTAACATCATTGTGTTTGCTTAGTCTTTGCAAACATGTTAGCATGCTGAAGCTCAAAACTCAACTAGCATTGCCCAAGAGGAGCTAGCAAGGTCCAAAGACATGTCAACTTATTTAGCATTTTCTTACATGCTTACATCTCCTAACCTACGAGAAGTAAGTGCACGCATCTTATTCCAGCTTTAAGCATGCTAAAAAGCTGAAATAAGATGTTGAACACGGTAATTATACATGCACAAACAGCATCATATTAGCAGTTTTTTGCATTCATCTCAAATCCAAGCTGCAACTAAGCACAGCCACCGACTCAAAGGTTGTATTTATTAGTGTTTTGCATTAACTCACATGCTTAAATCTCCAAACCCTTAATAACCAAGTGCTGCACGCTGAAACTCACCTTCCAAATACGCTGACTAGCTCCTCAGGCTCCATTTCTTTGAGCAGTTTGGTGAGCAGCTGACGCAGGAATCGCACCGTGGCTTTATCCAGCTCCCCAAACTCTATCACCTGCACACAAACACATAGTTTCTTTATTGATTTAGCATATGTAAGACGATACACAAACATCCACAAGACATAACAGAATGAAGAACATTTCCAGTTTGCTGACCCTCTCTAGATCCGCATATTCCAGATAGTTAAGGAAAGGGCCCCATACTTTTTTTAATAGTTCTTGTTTTCCTTTAAAGGTCACCTATCAGGCTATTTGTAGGCTATAGCATAGGTCTCAGATATATACAAATATATAAAAAACATGTCTATGAAGTGTTTTGCTCAAAATACCAAACAGATCACCCATTCTAGCCATGCCTCATATCCCTCTATTTCACTTCCTGTTTCAAAAGTGCTGATTTTATGTATAAAGCTTTAACAAAAAACAAAAAATTGATTAAAAAGAGGGGCGGAGCTTATGCGGGAGATTCTACCGGCAGATTCTGCCGTGATGAAACGCCATATCATGGATTATCAAGGATTCTCTCTGAAACAGTATGGAGCTCAAAGGCTTTCTCTCTTGCCGGTTATACCACAAGGTGAGTTCCTTTTTATTTCCTGCTTCTTCACACACATGCTCTCCAGTACAGGTTAGCTCTGAGTGTTAGCGATGCTAATGTAAACACAGACCATATTACGTCCAAAACAGTCGGGCATTTCTGATAGCAACGTTTCTGATATTACGTCATATCGGACGCAAATCTGGATCAGCTCCGTTTTTAGAGATTTGGGTACGGAGGAAAAGAGAGAGGGTTTTATTTTCTGACGCTGCGTGAGTTCCCCGACACACCGGGGACACGTAGTTATGTATAAAAGACATCAAAAAGTGCATTTTGCATGATAGGAGACCTTTAAAAATGTTCTCTAACCTTAAAAAAACTCATCTCTTCAATCTGGCTTTAATGTGTGATTGTTGTTGTATTGCTTGATTTTAAATGTGACTTTATTTATTTGTTGTTCTTTTCTTTATCTCTGTAAAGCGACTTTGAGCACCTGTAAAAGCGCTTACAAAATAAATCTATTAATATCATTATTAATGAGACGCATGCAGACCGTTCTTTTAGCCATTTACCAACACTTGGACTGTTAACTCAGGGTATATGCAGGAATCCTGAAGTCAAATGTAAAACCTTTTAAGACCCTTTCCATACATTTTAAGACCTCATCGCCACTTTGAGTTCTAACCGGTTACCTTGGTGACACACTTTACCTCACATTGACTATATACAGTATTGATTGTCCTTCCTCCTTATCTTCCAACCATTTGGACGCAAACTTGCATTTCCCCATAACCATGTTGTTTAACAACCGGCGTAAACGGACCTTCGCGCGCTATCAAGCAGTGAGCGTGCGACGTCCTGTTCAGATGACGGCAAATCCAACGGGATGCCATAAATAAACTACACAGAATCACACTACACACCTACGCAATGATTACATTCAGGCACACTGTAGAATACAACCTCTTTGGACAATTGATATACTTATTGAAAACTAGCTACAAAATGTAACACCTTGGAAAATGCCGTTTAATACTTTTTAATAGCCTTAATTTTCGCTAAATTGATTTATCAACTTGTAATACTTTTTAAGACCCCGCGGACACCCTGTAACATTTCTCCTTTAAAAAGCGCCATCATGCGTGTTCTCTCTTCCTTATGTTGTGTTCTTTTGGGTAACACCCTAACAAAAAAACCTCCATGATAAACATCTCGAAACACACAGGTTCATTTACACACGCACAACAAATATATATAAATGTACACAGGACTTGTCCCTTACTTTGAGAATGGAGAGCGAGAGGCACTTCTTCTGCAGGAAGTGAGAGACCAGCTGCACCAGGTTGGAGAAAGTGCTGCTGGGGAGACTGGACAGATCTCTGAACTTATCCCACAGGCTGAACTGGAACGTCATCTAGGAGAATGAAGGGATGGAGAGACGGATAGATGTTAGACATATAGGACAGTATATAAAAGACAGAGTGAAACGAGGGGAAGCATTCAACACAAAGCAATTCAAAGTGCTTTACAAACATGAACGACATTAAGAAATAGTGCAGCAGAAACATTATAAAATGGCATTTAAAAACACTCAAAGATAATACAAACATGAATAACAAAAAGGTGCACGATTATACAGTGGAACGTCATCTTGGAGAATAAGATATTTTTCCATTGTTTACTTCTTGGGTATAGTGACGTATTTCGGGTATAGTGACACACACACACACACACACACACACACACACACACACACACACAGCGTGTGTGGGTTTCGCTGTGTCTCGCTGTCGGCCACTGGGCTCACAGGGAGGGGCCAGGAGCTCCAACAAGCCGTGTAGGACAGAGAGTGAATACACATACTATACAGAGATGCTGTATGAGAAACCAATGTGAGTTTGGAACATTGAACAATATAAATCTATTCTAGTAGACCTCAACAATGGAATTATGATCAGTAGAAATGGCCAATGACCTTTAATGTCTTTCATTTTTGTAAAGCACTTTGAATTGTCTTGTGTTGAAAAGTGCTATTTAAATAAACTTCCCTTTATCTGTTTTATTTGTTCCATGTCCTGTATATATATATATATATATATATATATATATATAGGATACATATACATATTCATGTTTCACTGTTGGAGGAGCCTGTGACTTCAGTTTTTCATACCAAAAACGACACTGTAGCTGCCGAGCAAATGACAATACAGCCTTGAATCTTGAAACATAGTGACATGAGGGGAACATTAACAAACGCACACAGGTGACCCTCTCCTCCAGACCCAGTTTACATGTGAAAAACAAACGTTCCCAGCGGCTCTTTGATGAAGACAATGCTCATCAGTCTCTGATATGAACCTGCTTTACCTGCAGCAAAGTAGGAAGTGTTTTCTCTTCCTCCCTCCATTGTTTGTCGTCTCAGTTAGAGTCAAATAATAAGAGGAGGTGTGAAGAGGAGGTGAAGTGAAGGAGCACAGAGGGTCACACACAGTTTAACAGAGTGGGTGGTCAGCAGAGGTGGGAAGTACAAATACTTTGTTACTGTACTCAAGTACATGTTTCTGGTATCAGTACTTTACTCCACTACTTCTTACATTTTGAACCCAAATACCTGTACTTTCTACTTCTTACATGTTGAACACAAATACCTGTACTTTCTACTTCTTACATGTTGAACACAAATACCTGTACTTTCTACTTCTTACATGTTGAACACAAATACCTGTACTTTCTACTTCTTACATTTTGAACCCAAATACCTGTACTTTCTACTTCTTACATGTTGAACACAAATACCTGTACTTTCTACTTCTTACATGTTGAACTCAAATACCTGTACTTTCTACTTCTTACATGTTGAACACAAATACCTGTACTTTCTACTTCTTACATGTTGAACACAGATACCTGTACTTTCTACTTCTTACATGTTGAACCCAAATACCTGTACTTTCTACTTCTTACATGTTGAACCCAAATACCTGTACTTTCTACTTCTTACATGTTGAACACAAATACCTGTACTTTCTACTTCTCACATGTTGAACCCAAATACCTGTACTTTCTACTTCTTACATGTTGAACCCAAATACCTGTACTTTCTACTTCTTACATGTTGAACACAAATACCTGTACTTTCTACTTCTTACATGTTGAACTCAAATACCTGTACTTTCTACTTCTTACATGTTGAACCCAAATACCTGTACTTTCTACTTCTTACATGTTGAACACAAATACCTGTACTTTCTACTTCTTACATGTTGAACACAAATACCTGTACTTTCTACTTCTTACATGTTGAACCCAAATACCTGTACTTTCTACTTCTTACATGTTGAACACAAATACCTGTACTTTCTACTTCTGACATGTTGAACACAAATACCTGTACTTTCTACTTCTTACATGTTGAACACAAATACCTGTACTTTCTACTTCTTACATGTTGAACACAAATACCTGTACTTTCTACTTCTTACATGTTGAACACAAATACCTGTACTTTCTACTTCTTACATGTTGAACACAAATACCTGTACTTTCTACTTCTTACATGTTGAACACAAATACCTGTACTTTCTACTTCTTACATGTTGAACACAAATACCTGTACTTTCTACTTCTTACATGTTGAACTCAAATACCTGTACTTTCTACTTCTCACATTTCCCAAACAGGCTGGTTCCTTTAGTTTGAATGTGTGTTTGGTGGCGTGATCATTATTATTTAGAGTCATTGCGTGCCTATTGATTTGAACACGATCCGTGTATCCATCATTTCCTGGTCTTCTCTAAAGAAGAGGGACCAATGAAAACGTTGTCATGTTGCCGTTGTTCAGCATGGAAACATTCATTAGCTAACAATGACATTATTGTTCTATTAATATAAAGGGAGGTCAGGTACTCTTTAAAACAGCTGCTAGTTATGGGTACTTTTTACTGAAGTACATTTCAAAGCCTCTTTACTTTCACTTGAGTAAAGAAGTTTAGTCAGTACTTCTACTTTTACCAGAGTATTTTTAAACACGAGTATCTGTACTTCTACTTGAGTAAAGGACGTGTGTACTTTTGCTATCTCTGGTAGGCACATCTATCTATCCATCTCTCTAATCTGAGTGCAGTTTAATCGAGGATGTTGTGCTTTGATAAGGTTCTGGAGAGTTTAAACACTGCCTGTTTATCTGTGTTTGTGAAAGGTATGTTTGTTATCTTCCTCAGTAGTTATTATCTGGGTTTTACCATCTCTTAAATACCTGGAAGCGTCGGTCGTGAGAGCAGAATTTCTCTCCCAGCACGGCGTAATAACCGTTGAATGTTTTCTCCTGCAGACAGCAGTCCATCAGCACGTTAACGATCTCTCTCTCCTGCTTGTCCTTCAGACCCATCCTAACACACAGCAGACAGACAGGCTTTAAAACATCCATCTCATATGTACAGTGTTCATTTCGTCAACGAAAACTATGACGAAAAATGTTCGTCAACGACCTTTTTTTACACGACTAAGACGAGACGAGGACGAGCTAAAAATGGATTGTTGATGATAAAAACTATGATGAGACGAGACTAAGGTGTTAATGGTGGACTATCGGACATTCAAAATGCAGGGTATTTTCCCCCAATTGTCCGTCTTGTCTGTCAAAATGCATCCCTGTCATTGGTTGAATTAGCTGGGATTCTGCACACGTCACTACACAAGTAAAGACACTTGATACTGTCACCTTGATTCCAATTTCAGATACTTGTATTTGCCCAAATGAATTAGTTTAAAGAGAGAAAACCTTTTGACTAATTTTTCATCGACTAAATCGACTAAATTTGAGTTGCATAAAAAGGACTAAAATGTGACTAAAACTAATAACCATTTCCGTCTAAAGACTAAATCTGAAATAGCTGCCAAAATGAACACTGGTATATATCTCCAGTTCAAACACAGTGAAGTGATGGCAGACCTGATCAGTTTCTCAAAAGCATCCATGAAGTCCTCGCTGGTCATCACCACACAGAAGATGTTCCTCCTGACTTCAGTGTTCATCCTCTGTTTCCTCGCCAGATCCAAGACTTTAGCGCTGAACTGAAATAGGAATAAACTAATTCAATTCAAGGCTTTATTGTCATGTGCACAGTAGCTACAGTGTAGATATAGCAATGAAAAACGTCTCCAATAAAGCAACATGAGTATATATAGGACATAAAACTAATTTAACAAATAAACCTTTAATGCGAAATACACTTTTTTCCGTGTCTTTTACATATAATAATATAATATATGCAAAAATTTCACAAATTGGGATGAATAAAGTACTTCTTATCTTATAATTATGTGTCCCTGGTGTGTAAAGAGACTCATAATGTGACAGAAGAATCAACCCTCTCATCAAAACTCTCTTAAAAAAAAACTGGTGTGAAAAACTGCAATTCAAGTTTTAGTGGAAATTCCAAGTTTTTTTTTTGGATTAGCGTTTAATTAGCAACGTTCTCCTTTAATTGGTGTTGTTTGGATGTGTGCTTCCTGTACCTTTCCTTCACTCTCTTTGGAGGCGTTTTGCTCTCCGATCATCGGCGCTCCGCTCCACGAGGACCCGACGATCCACCATCGCCCGATCTGATCTGCTGCCAGGAGATTATCCAGAGAGACCCTCAGCTTCATGTCACTGCCTCCTGCTCGACGCTGCACCTGGAGGACCAAGAACAAACCAAGATGTTTAGGATCAGAAATGGTTTGATTTCCTCCAATATGTCGGGCCTAGAACATCCGACATATTTCTGACAGTTCTTCCTAGGCCAAGGAATGATGGCTGAGCTCCATGGGGATGACTTTATGTATTATTTTGTTCATTTCTTGTTTTCTGGCCATGTTTATATATATTTAAAAAAGAAAAAATGCATTTATTGTGACTGTTTCATCATGTTTGTGAACCATGTCTGCGCTGTGCTGGATTTAAAATGGGTTAAAAATGTAAAACCTGCCTTTCATTCAGCATATACACCAAGACTGAAACACACGAGCACAGACTACAGTTTAAAGAAGCAGAAAATGCTCCGTTTTAGTTTAACACACACTCTTCTGTGAACACACAGGTTCACCTGCTGAATTAAAAACATCACAAATGAAGCAAAGTAAGTGAAAACCATGAAGCAGATTCAGGCAGCAGGCATTCACACTGAAAGTATTATCCTACAGAACAGCTTACAGAGAAGAGATAACATCTGATCCTTTACAACAAACACTATATGCTCTTTTTAGTAACACTGTAATCCTGCTAGTTATCCTTAATTGTTTAGAAATGTAACAGGAATCTGATTTGAGGTCGAGGGAACATTTGAGACTTGGGTGTGTAAAAGTGGTGCTCTGGCACCCCCTGGTGGTCAGAAGCTAGTATGACAATAACATTGAAATAACACAAAAGCCATGTTTAGTATCATATACGCTGCAGAAGAAGTACTCACATCTACCTATATCTTAACCTATAATTATATTTCAATGTTTATTCACAAGTGGTTTATATTTTGTACGAGCTATGAATCTTTATATGCAAAGTAAATGGGATGTCCGATTAAATGAAGGGGAGTAGAAAGTACAATATCGGCCGAGTAGAAGCGCAAAGTAGCAGGAAATGTGAGTTTTTACGAATGTAGTGAAATGAGGATATGTTACATTTAGATATAGTGATGTTGTAATTATTAAAAACTGAATGACCCACCAGAGTCCTCTGCAGCTTCCTCAGTTTCTCCATGGGTTCAGGATCGTAGCCGGGGATTTTCCTCATGTCGTTGTTCTTCAGAGCGAGCATGGTCTCCAGCATGAAGCGCACCTATAGGACAACAATCAATACATGCATATAAACGTATGAGATAAGCTAGATTGTCTACTCTAGTAAGTGGCTTGCTAAAAAATCCTCATCACACAATGGATAAACGCTTTAATTGACATTCTCATCTCAGAACTGTCAATCATATCCCCCCCCCAAAAGCAGCATAGGGCCTCTTTAAAGTACAAAGTGTTGTTGTTGTTGTTACCCTGGTCTGATCCTGGAACTTCGTCCCCACATCTACAGCTTTTCTCTGTCCCTCACAGATGAGCTCTTTGAGGGCCAGAGCGTCGTCTTTCCTCAGAGCGAAGCCGACGTTCCTCAGCACGAGAAGAACCAGCTCGATGTCCTTCTCCCTGAAGTCTCCCACCAGGTGTTTGAGGATGTCGAAAACGAGCACCGAGTGAACCACCTGGAAGTTGTACAGGTGGCAGATGATGGAGATCAGGTTGTCGCACTCCTTGGTTTCCGAAGGGTTCTTGTACACTTCGTCAAACTGTCGAACAACCGTCTCCAGGAAGTGAGCTCCGACCTGGGGATGATCAGAAGGGAAGAGTACAAAACATCAGGTATATCAATTAAGTTAGCGTTCAACTCATAACTAGAGAGTATTAGAAAACTACTAAATGAGTCAAAACTTTTCAAACCTTTCCTTATATAATCTCAAAGATGTGTGTTGTGACGAGTGTTCATTTTGTCAGCTATTTTTTCATTTAGTTTTAGTCTTAGTCCTGTATCAAATGTCCTTGTTAGTTTTAGTCATATTTAGTCACCTTCATCCTGGTTTTGGTTAGTCAAGTTTTAGTCGACTAAAAGTCTGAGCATTTTAGTCTTATTTTAGTCAAAGAAAACTAACTATTTTAGTCAAAGAAGACTAACTATTTTAGTCAAAGAAAACAAACTATTTTAGTCAAAGAAAACAAACTATTTTAGTCAAAGAAAACAAACTATTTTAGTCAAAGAAAACGAACTATTTTAGTCAAAGAAAACAAACTATTTTAGTCAAAGAAGACTAACTATTTTAGTCAAAGAAAACAAACTATTTTAGTCAAAGAAGACTAACTATTTTAGTCAAAGAAAACAAACTATTTTAGTCAAAGAAGACTAACTATTTTAGTCAAAGAAAACAAACTATTTTAGTCAAAGAAAACAAACTATTTTAGTCAAAGAAAACTAACTATTTTAGTCAAAGAAGACTAACTATTTTAGTCAAAGAAAACTAACTATTTTAGTCAAAGAAAACAAACTATTTTAGTCAAAGAAAACAAACTATTTTAGTCAAAGAAAACGAACTATTTTAGTCAAAGAAAACAAACTATTTTAGTCAAAGAAGACTAACTATTTTAGTCAAAGAAAACAAACTATTTTAGTCAAAGAAGACTAACTATTTTAGTCAAAGAAAACTAACTATTTTAGTCAAAGAAGACTAACTATTTTAGTCAAAGAAAACTAACTATTTTAGTCAAAGAAAACTAACTATTTTAGTCAAAGAAAACGAACTATTTTAGTCAAAGAAAACAAACTATTTTAGTCAAAGAAAACGAACTATTTTAGTCAAAGAAAACTAACTATTTTAGTCAAAGAAAACAAACTATTTTAGTCAAAGAAAACTAACTATTTTAGTCAAAGAAGACTAACTATTTTAGTCAAAGAAAACTAACTATTTTAGTCAAAGAAAACTAACTATTTTAGTCTACTTTTTGTCAATGAAAACTGTTGACATGAGTCTTTTTTAGTCATCAGATTATATAGAACATTTCAGTCAAACTAGTCTAGCCAAAACCAATAATTTTAGTCACACTTATTTCACAATAAGATGATATCTTGTCCTTATTTGATGAACAACACAGGTTGAATGATTAAGAAAGCAGCTTTGCAGAGAGCATGTGGTCAGGTTTGTGGTGTTTGTACCAGCTGTGGTATGGCCACTTTGCTTCCCTTCTGATAAAACAATGCAACTCACTCGCGCTGACAGGGGGGGGGGGGATATTCGGTCAACGCGACCACTGCTCCCAAGCCCTGTTGTTGCCATTTTCCTTTCTTTATTGTTTACTGACGTCGGTGCTGTCTCGTCATCGTCTCGTTTTAGTCAACGAAATGAACACTAGTTGTGTCCACCTCGACTGAATTCAATTTGACTAATTACCCTGTTTTAGGGTTTCTAACAGGATGTAGAGGCAATCCTAAAGTGTACGATATCACTTTCTAATTGATTAAAGAGCATCATGTAACAGTGTAGGAATCAGATAATCCCATTGAGGCGTCTAATGAATAATCCACGAGGACATGTCAGCTCTCAGGTCATACCAATCCTCTCACACAAGCTACTTGATACCTGAGGGATGTACTGCAGTCAACACATCTGAGAGATATAGGAAAACAAACTATATCACGGCTTAAGAACTAGATGCTGCAAATAATCGAGGAAAGCTTAAAGAAATGTGTAAATACATTTAGTGTCTCTGCTGGGACATGTCTCCATGCTTTAATGTTCAAAAAGCTCTTGATTTTTCTCATACTGCCTGTACCTCTTTTCCCCCTCTGTCTGAAACCAGAGTTTCCCTGTTTCCAAAGTGCTGATTCTCTGTCTGTTACTTTAGATGAAAATAAGGAGCCCCTCCCCACGCCCCTCTGAGAGAGGTTTGGTTAAATATGGTGGGGGGGGGTTACCTTGGTTGCTGATTGGCTAATGGTTACACAAGACAAAACATCATTATGACATCATCAAGTGGCCAAAATCTGATCAGCTCATTTTCAGACAGGTTTTTATAGAAATGGATCAAAAAGAGAGAGAATCTTTGTTCCTGAAACTTTCAGAGTCTCTTTACACAGAGGGGACACATGTTGATGAAGAAGAGACATGAAGAAGAGGGGACACATGTTGATGAAGAGGAGACATGAAGAAGAGGGGACACATGTTGATGTAGAAGAGACATGAAGAAGAGGGGACACATGTTGATGAAGAAGAGACATGAAGAAGAGGGGACACATGTTGATGTAGAAG